CCTAAATAGCTATCTTCCTCTCATGGAGAAACAAACGAACTCCATCGGAAGCCGCTCAGCCTTGGAAATCCAAGTTTTATTGGCACTGTGCTGAGTATCCAGGTCTTTCATCTGAGAAGCAGATGTTCTGATTGTTCCAAGGTACCTGGCGTGAAACTGTATATTTCACACTTTTACCCTCAACGTTCCCTATGACGGGTCAGACCTGTGGATTTACAGAATTAAATGGACACAGAACTAAATCCTGCCCATGTGGACGGGTAACTAGGTTGAGATCTACTGAATGGTAAAAACAAACAAACAAAACCCCACGAGCACTGCGTCACAAAATGCTATACGCAAGCACGAGCTTCCTAAAACAAAACAGTCCTCAGCAGATTTTGTACTGTTTTGCCCTATAAACTACTTTTTCCACTTACAGAAAACTGCAAACTGCAATCCAAAGGCTTTGCAGGCTTGCATTTTTCCATCTTCCCTGAAAGTTTAGGAGGACACATAATTCAATTTGGTCATCTTTCTGGCTTTCCGCATGGTGCCTGCCAAGTGAAGCATTTTGCCTGTGTGCCTGGCTCCATGATACCACCTTTTAGAGAAGTTACCACACGTGAAATAATCGTCTGCATTAGATTTATGTGGCTAGAGACTGAGTTTTTAAAAACATTTAATCTACCCCCCCTCCTGTGTTGTGCTTTGCCGTAACGATACTGATGATCTAAGAGTCTCCAGAAAGATACTTTCAATTGGGTTTCTGTTTGCAAACCAACAATCAACTGCTATAAAATATCACCTTAAAAAGTTGCCCACGGTGGGGGGAACTGGTGGGGGGGGAACCACCAGACCTCTGCAGAGGAAGCGGGGCGGGGGGAATGGTAGCGTTATAAAACTGGACTGTGGTAATGCACGCATAATTGTACACATTTACTCAAGAGCAACTAACTGCACACTTACAGTTGCTGAGTTTTATGATCTATAAATTATACCACAATAAAGCTGTTTAAAAATATGCCCAGGATTCACAAAGCGAGATTTTTCAGGTTCTGAGTGTTATTCAAATTAACATGAAAAGCATTCGTTTCTCCTCCACTGCAAATGTATTTATGGTATTTGGGGGCAATACGATTTTCTTCCAAGGCAGAGTTTCTCAACTTCGGCACTACTGTCACGGGGACCAAATCATTCTTTGTGTCGGCGGGGCTGTCGTGGGCTGGCCTGTGCATCCGGGGGTGTTTAGCAGCATCCCTGGCCTCTGTTCACTAGCCACCAGTAGCGCTCCCTCAGCCCAAAATGTCTCCAGACCTTGCCAAACATCCCCTGGGGGGGCAAAACAGCTCCTGGGTAGGAGCCACTGCTCTAGACACTGAACACTGGAAACTTGCTCTCGGAAGGGGTGACTGACAAATACAAACACAGGCATTCAGGACCCCCCCTAATGTGAAGGCTGGGTCTAGTGCCCCATTCGCAGCCCCCTGGCCAACGTAGGAAGCTTTTTCTCTTATGGTGGTGCCTCTGCCTGTGCTCGCTGCATATTCAACAGCCAGTGTCACTTCTAGATTATAAACCATTATTTTTTAAATGAAGACTAATTTTCTAGTCCTGTGCCTATGTCGGTCTCTAAGTAAGGCACTCAGCCCAGAATCAAAGTTCTCCATAACTGCTTTGCAGCCCCTGACTGGAACACTGAGTACGGCAGCAGACAATTTCTTTTCTTTTAATTTTTATTGGAGTGTAGTGAATTTACAACGTTGTGCTAGTTTCCTGCTGTACAGCAAAGTGAATCAGTTATACATAGACACATATCCACTCTTTTTTAGGTTCTTTTCCCATATAGGTCATTACAGAGTATAGAACAGAGTTCCCTGTGCTACACAGTAGGTCCTTATTAGTTATCTATTTTACATACAGTACAGTGTGTATAGGTCAATCCCAATCTCCCAATTTATACCTCCCCCCCTTTCCCCCCTGGTAACTATAAGTTTGTTTCTACATCGGTAACTCTAGTTCTGTTTTAGCACCAGGCAATTTCATTTTGCCAGCATGAACCCAACACGTTTAGGTTCCAGGAACTCTGGGGAACCTTCCACCTTTGAACGTCAAGGTTGAAGTCATGGTCTCCATCTTAGAGATGAAGCAATCCAGGCTCAGAGGAAAACTAAGTGACTTGTGCCCAAGACCATAAAGCGGCAGAGCTGGGATAGGAGACTAAGCCCCATGTGCTTTCTTGACTCCCAAGTTTACAGGGTATCCCCTACTCTGAGCTGCTGAGAAAACATGGGGTGGACTAGACACCTGCTGGATGCCTCATACACAGGAGCTCATTTGAAATCCTCACCGTTAGGCTGTGAGGTGAGGGTTATTATTCCTACTTTACAGACAAGGAAATGGAGGCTGAGGTAAAGTCCTTGTCCAAGGTCACACAGCTGGACCTGAAATGTGAACTCAGGTGGCTCTTGGCCACCACTCCCTCCGGCCTCCCCTCCTGTAAAAATGGCCTATTTCACTAGGAAGAGTCGGTCATTGGTTTTTGGTTTTTTACTACCTAAATTACATTTTCATTCAAATAGATGTGGATTTGGGCTACTCATAATTTACTCGGGGCTCCTTTTATAACACTAAAAATCCAGTCCTATGCACATCCGTGAGAAAAAACCCTCTCTGTCCAGTTGTCAAGAAGTGGTCAGGCTAAAATTTCACTACTGCTCTTCTAACAGTTAATCATTTCCTCCGTTTTCTCTTCTCTCATTCATTCATCCAGTCAATAACCACATCACTTAGGATCTATTCAGAGTGACAAACACATATCAAATAATCACACAATTAAAAATCATGATGAAAGCACCAGTTAGGAAAAGTAAGTACAGAGGGGGTTCCAAACATTTAGAATGGGAAGGCTGGCCAGGGTTGTAAAGGACACGCAAGGAATCTGAGATTTGCGGGAAGAGCTGGGAGTTCGTTTGAAAGTGAGGCAAGGGACTTTCCTGGCGGTCCAGTGGTTAAGACTCCGTGCTTCCACTGCAGGGGGTGCCAGGTTCAATTCCTGGTTGGGGAACTAAGATCCCACATGCCGCGCAGTGCGGCCAAAAACAAAGAAAAAAGGAAAAAAGAAAGTGAGGCAAGAGGAGCTTTTGGTGCTAGTAAACAGTGTGTGCAAAGGCCCTGAGGTAGAAAGGAACCATGCACGCAAGGCCCTGAAAGGGGGCCAGAGATAGCAGTGGCCAGGCCACACAGGGTCTTGTGGACCCCTCGTAAAGAGAAATCAAGGGTCCTAAGTAGGGGCAGAGCATGGTCAGATTTACAATTTTAATGAGCAGTCTGGCTGTGTCACATGAGCAACCTGTGCCAGGACACAGTTCAAAGAGCTCTACTCTGGATCCTGCAAAACAAGTTTGTTTGTTTCTTTTTTTTTTTTTTTTTTTCCTTCTCTCTGGGCTGTGGTGCACCTCCCTGGCTGTGAGCTAGCTCCCTTCTTTCTCTGTTTCATTTGTGAAATTTAAAGGCCAGATGTTTTATCAGGTCTGGGACCTGTTTTCTTTCAGTAGCCCCCCCCAGTAAAGTACTTCATCTCTTCCCAGATTCCTCCCCACTCCCTAACCTCTCTATTCTCTCCAACTTGCTAAGTGGCCAGTCAATGACAAAAGGTAGGAGAATCTGTCCTTTGGGGCATTCTTACATAGAGGATAGAGACAAGCTGAGAAAGAAATACAGATTCTACTGGCTTGCACCTCCTCACACTCAATCAAGCACAGTTGGAAGGGAAAAAAAACAAAAGCAAATCTGAGATAATGTTAAGATTCCTGGATTCCCTCTTGGCCGCACACACCCGCCTCCACCAATCTAGTGGCCACCGCCAATGGACTTTAGCTCCCGCTGGCCCAACTCCAAGCTTTCATAACTACTTTCAGTTTCTCCACTACAAGAAGCTTCAGCTGACCGCACCCTGCCCCGCTAAGAGTCCTTAGCAGCCACTGACACTTCTTCCAGGAAGCCCGTCCTACCCCACCCACCCTTCGTGCCTCCTGCCCGTGAATGCCCAGCGCTCTAAGAAAGCAGGTTCTTCGAACTTCATTGTAATTGGTTCACCCAACACATGCATGCAAGTGCATGCACACACACGGTCAGTAGCTCCAGAAGGACAGATTCTGGGTGTCACTGTCCCAGCATCTAGCACAATGCCTGGCATCCGGTTGGGATCCTTACTGAATGAATGAGCAAATAGAAGTGGACACATTCAGAGTCTCCCAGGGGCAGGAAGAGAGACCTTAAATGAGAGAGGTTTTCCCTTCCTATAGGTTTGGTTGTGAATGTGAACATGAAACACTGAAGTTACAAATTTTAGAAAAGGCGCTACATTTCACTCACGGAAATTTGAAAGGATCAAAAATATCAAAGCAGGACACACACGCTCATGGTTTTAGACAGGACCAAAACTGCGGAAAGTTTTCAGATGGTAAGGTGGTAGCAGGGAAAGAAGATGCTCATGATGGGAACCCAATAAAAAGCCAGAACAGAAACACAGAGCTGACACGGCTCCCACCTGAGCCCACTCTGGCTGCAAAATGCCACATCAACCGAGTAACTGACCCCGTTCTTATCTCCGTACAGTTCTCCCTTCGGCCCACTACTCTCCCGGTCTTGTTCTCATTTGTCAAATGCCCTTCATAGCCAATTCCTACCCCTTCACCTTTCTTAAAAGCACACTCCCCACTGGATCATTTTTGCATTCTGTCTTCAGAAACGCCAACCATGTGGCATTACTGTTTCACAGTTTCACTTTCTTGGCTGAATTCAAATGGGATAATCTTCTATTGTCCAGGTCTGAACCAGGGTCTTGCTACTTGGAGTGTGGTCGGTGGACTAACATCGCATCACCTGAGAGTCTGTTAGAAATGCAGTCTCTCAGCCCTATCCCAGACCTCCTGATGCAGAATCAGCATTTAACCAGCTCCCCAGAAGAGTCCTGTGCACACAAAAGTTTTAGAAGCACTGGGCTAGATCCTACGTTCACTGAACAAATATGTATTGAACCAGTGCAGGGTCTACAGTAGGTGCTCAACATACACAAGAGGATGTGAATGACGTGGAGAAAGGAAGTACAGATATTCCACTGAGGTTGAGAAGCTCCTGTAAATACTAAAAACAGCATCACCGGGGTGCGAGGTTCTAGCAAGATTAATAACCTTTACGCCCAAATTCAGACGTGGCCAACTGCATCTGGGCTGTGGGAAACTGGAATCTGGGAACTTGACCCTGTTTGCAGCAGGCGGGAGGAGCACAGGGGAGGTGTGTGAGTGTGTGTGTCTCTTCCCCGCTTCAGCCACAGGCCGCAGGAGCTGACAAGGCCAAGTCCCCGCCCCCCTCAGCTGTCACCCTGTCAAAACAAAGCCGCTGCTGACAGCGCAGGGCCAGCCTGCCCCGCGGCCTCGGGCAGTGCTCCCACCCCAGGAGCACGGCGCCCACATCTGGATCCGCATTTAAGGGGCGACGGGGTGCCCGGAGCTGGGGTGGAGAGAGGATGGCCAGAAACGCGCGTCCTCAAACTAAGCAGTAGCGCCCGCCGCGCTGGGCCGTCACCTTGCCAAATCCTGTTTACACCCCGAGAGGCTGGGGCAGCGTTTCAACTAAACAAGTAAAAATACAGTAATGACCGGGCTGTCACCGCGCGCCGCAGCGTCTCCGCCCCCGGCCGAGGGCGCCCGGAGCTCCAGGACCCTAGCTTGGGGCTGCGCCGCCCAGCCCGCGCAATCCGCCCCTTCGAGCTCCCAAAGCGCCGGGAGTCCAGAATCCTATTCCAGCCTCACTCCTTCCACCCAGCTCCGCCCAGTGGGGCTCGGTGGAGGAGAGGAGGGCGCTCAGGTCCCCCAAAAGATGTTGCCTTGGCCCCGCTCCACTCCCTGGGAGGCGCCTCCGGCGAGCTCCTACAGAGCAACAAAGCCCCAGGGCAGCCCAGGAGCTCGGAGGCGGAGGCAACTCCTTCCAAGGGGGAGGAAGGAAAGGCTCTCGGTCCCGGCGATCTCTCCTTCCCACCCGACAGCACTCTGGTCCGAGAAGCAGCTAATTGGGCGTGGGCGACAGCAGCACTTCCGCGGTGCCGCGGCCCCGGGCGGGAGGCGGGGGCGGGAGGGGGAGGGGGTCCCGCGGGCCCGGCCGCGGCCCCTCGGGCGGGCCGGGCGCCGAGCGCGTACCTTGCAGGCGGAGTACACGCCGAGTTTCTCCAGTTTCTTGGCCCGCGGAGCGGAGCGCAGCTGCGCCTTCTTCACTGCGATCCGGGCCGAGCCGCCGCCTCCCGGCCCCTCGGCCGTGCCCGCCGCCGCCACCGCCGTCGCCGGTCCGCAGGCGCCCGAGCCCCCGGCGGCGGCGACGGCGGCGCCAGGGGAGCCCTGCGGCGGCGCGGGCGG